ACAAACCCATTGTGGTAATAACCACTTCTCACATACCCAAAGTATTCAAACCCGGTACGCTCTGATACTAAGTTATAACGCCCCCAAAATAATACAATAAATGCAACCCATAAGCGGAAAGATAATAGAAATAACATGCCTTCATTCATCAAAGTTTGTATACAAAAGATAACACATGCGATATACATTCGTAAACTGTTCATCCTGAAATATGGTATTTTCTTTTGCTAATAAAAAAACTGAAAACTCAAAATGGAAACGCATTTTTCCTGTTTTCATTTTTTGGCCAAATTTATAAACTAAAATCACTGATTTATAAATAAAAAATTTACCAAATAAGTTTTTATTTGAGTTTTTTAAATTTTTGTAAATATAAACTGAAAACGTAAGTGTTACCAAACGGCTATTATCATTAAATTATTCAGTAAATTACACAATAAATTCTCAGTATTTCTAGATCGATGTTAAGGGACTTTAAATACTATAAAAATATTGAATGTCCTTTATATTATAAAATCTTAGTAGTAGAGACCTTAAAAAAAACCCCTAAAAAAAAGTCTATAATGAAAAAAAAATAAAGGTACAAGTACCAAAAAAATCCCCATGTTTGAGTTTTGTAATAAAATAATTTTTGAATTTTATTAATTTAAATACTAATCTTTTGATTTCTTTTTAATTGAAATCATTAGCCTATTTCGTTAAGTAAAACCGATTGAAAATGAGTATTTTAGTCATTACAACCAATGTTGGTGTACATAAAATGTTTTAAATATTATTTTCATTGAGTTTAATGACTAAAATACTAATTTTTCATTGATTTTACTTAATGAAAATTAGAAAATGATTTAAATTAAAAATAAATAAAAAATTTAAAGTTTAAATTAATAAAATTAAAAACTCAATATTTATTTTGTTATAAGACTCAAATCCTGAGTTTTTTTATTTTTTTATTTATAATTTCTTTAAAAATAAACAATTCAATACAATCATTATAATAAGTGAAAAATACTTTTTATTTTTTGTTTTTATATAATGATAATGATTGTACTGACCTCTAAGTAACTCATTGAGTTGATCTAGTTAATTATGCTTTTTCATATTTTTTATTTTTATATTTAACAAAAGGATAAATTATAATTTAACCCCCTGTGATTTGCATCAAAAACACGAAACCCCCCTATAGTTTCATTTATAACACTTAAACCCCCTATACTTCATACCAAAGTTTAATTTCTGATGGACGTAACAGAATTTGTAAAAAGTCATAAATGCCCTAAATATTTTACATCCCTCAGTCATTTCATTTCAATTGACTAATACCAATATTCGCATCTCTCTCTCTCTCTCTCTCTCTCTCTCTCTCTCTTACCGTGGTTGATTGGATTGAACTAGGGTTTCATCATTGATTTCACCGTCATATTGCGAATGCCATTACTAGTTTAGGTATGTATTGTTTGCCGTAATTTATTTTGATCGTTAGATATTGATTTTCCCTAATTTTGATTCATAATTGAGTGTGTGTTGACTTCGATTTACAAAATTTGTAATGTTTTACGCATAGTATGCCTGTATTGATTTAATTTTGGGGGATTGTGGTTAAAGTGGGACGGGGCAGGGTGTAGACCTTCATAAATAATGGGTATTTTTTTTTTTTTTTTGGTATAATGTTAACTTTGGGTATTTTTTATTCACATATTTGTTTTTGTATACTTTAGTTTTCTATATTCATGCCTTTTATTACTTTATTTTTTGGGTATGTTGGTTAAAGTGGAGTAGGGTGAGTTATAAAGGTTCATAAACAACAGGTATTTTTTTTATGATGTTAACTTTGGATTTTTTTATGATGTTGACTTTTTAGATAGGGTATTCTGTTCATATATTCTATTTATAGTTGTATTCATATATTCTATTCATATATTCTGTTTGTGTTTAGAGATTTTGTAATTTTTTATGCATGCCATGCCTGTATTGGTGTAATGTTTTTGAATTTTGGTGAAGGTGGGGTTTATTTTGTTATGGCCCCAAGGAGATTTGAATTAAATATTGAGGAACTGAATTAATAATCAAATATTAATTAAATAGTGTGGTCCAAGGATTATGATTTTTGTTATGTAGTCCCAATGATTTTGAGTTTTGTAATGTATTATTGTGAACTTTTGTTGTTTTCTACAGTGAGGTAAAAAAATAAAAGATTTTTGAGATCAACTATAATGGGTATTTCAGTAAGCCTCCTAATATTTGAATTAAATATTGAGGAACTGAATTAATAATCAAATATTAATTAAATAGTGTGGTCCAAGGATTATGATTTTTGTTATGTAGTCCCAATGATTTTGAGTTTTGTAATGTATTATTGTGAACTTTTGTTGTTTTCTACAGTGAGGTAAAAAAAAAAAAGATTTTTGAGATCAACTATAATGGGTATTTCAGCAAGCCTCCTAATATTGGTTATAAACAAGGGAAAGTGGAATATATATATATATATATATGTGATGTTGATCCTAACAGACTGTTTGTTTTTTAGATTCATGCCATCTTGAGGGAGATGAAGATAGATGTCTATAGTACTTCTGTTTTGTAGTATAGGAAACCTGGAAAAACTTTAGATAATGAGTTGACAATAATTGAAGAAGATGTTGATGTATATACCATGATATGTGATTATGAAGGTTTAGATGTGATTGAATTATTTGTGGAGAAGGGTCAAGAACCATTACAAGTGGTAAGTCCAAAAAGGAAACATTTGGTATCCCCAAGAGTACCAGTTACTACTAAGCAGGCACTAACTTGGCATGAGATGGAAAATATAAGTGAAGAAGAGATGGGTTGTGGAGATGGAGTGCAAGATATAGGTGATGAGGAAATGCATAATGGAGATGGGGATGAAGAAGCAGCAGATGAAGATGTCAGAGATGAGGAAAGGGATAATAGAGCTTGGGATGAAGAAGATAGTGATGATTCTGATTACATTAATAATGAGAATGATGATAATGGTTCAGAAGATGAAGACTATGAAAGTGATGAATCTGGCTAGTTGAATGAGGGTTTAGATGGACCAGAAGATGATGATATTTTCTCACCAAGGGAGACTGTAAAGAAAAAAAAAAGAAGTAACCTCCTTCATGTGATCAAGGGGCAGATGAAAGGTGGTATTCTGATCTTGAGGATGACGATTTACACAGTATACATAACTCATCAGATGAGGAATGTGAAGATAAATATCCTGAGTTCATTGAGAAAGTAGATATGAAGAAGCCACAACTTAAACTTAGAATGAAGTTTGTCATCCCTCAAATTTTTAGAAAGGCAATAAAAGAGTGGAATATCCAACATGGTTATGACATAAAGTACATACTGAATGACAACTCTAGGATTACTATAGTGTGCAAACATGGATGTGGATGGAGATTGCACGCTTCTCCCATGCAAGGTGAGATAACTTTTAAGATACAATCATTCCAGCCAAAGCATGCATGTGGAAGGTCATATAACAATCACTTGGTGAACTCAACTTACTTGGCACACAAGTATATGGACAAGTTAAGGGATGACCTAACATCAAAGTTGGGCCTATGCAGGAGACAGTTTTGAGGGAGTTAATGGTTGATGTTAGTAGGCCTCAATTGTATGGGGCTAAAAAGAAAGCAAGAGAAGTTATTGAAGGAGATCAAAGGGTCCAATATGCAAAGGTGTATGATTATTATGAAACAGTGAGGCTGCATTGTCACGATCCCAAACCCGCCCCTATGGGTTTAGCACCGTAACCGGCCAGTAATCCTTGATTACCGAAGGCCTGCTTAACAGTAAAGACAGTAATATAGAGTACAGAGGCTGGTGGAAGCCAAAACAGTAATAAAAGATGTCCAATGAGCTGTAACAATCTGTATGCAAAAAGACTTTTCATAACACATTCACATTCAGTACAAAAGCAGTATGTACATACATCATATACAGGCATTCAGGTTAGGGACCAAATCCCTACCATAACAGTACAGTACAAGTCTATACAGTCTATACAAAACAGAGACAGAAGGGGGAATCTAAAACACCCCGAAGCAGCCTAAGCTTGAACACACACTTGGAACCTCGCAGTGAGGCACGTTTGTTGGCTTGACAAAAGGGAGTTTAACCTAACGCTCCTAGCTCCAATCCAGTGCCTGGACACCTACATATATATATAAATAGTAAGCTAAAGCCCAGTGAATAACATATGCGTAAAGAGGTTAAGAATGAATATCCTTTCAATCATTAAATAGTCATATCAGTCATTTAGAAACCATAGCAGTTATAAGTGGTATATCCAATAGCAAAACAGTACAGTAGGTCTTAACAGACCGAACAGCCAGTTGATGGCTATCATATCAGTAAACAGTAGTGGTTCCAACATGGAAACCGACAGAGATCTCTGTGACAGTAGAAGTACAGTAACAGTAAGTTGCTATGGATATCACGAATTCAGTTCATAAATAGGACAAACATTCATTCAGTAAGAAATATCATTTTAGAAAGCAGTACAGTTGATCATTCAGAAAATATTCATGATTGAACATATCTTTACAACATTGTTACTCACAGAGTTCTGGGCTACAGATAGACTAGTGAGCGTCTTCGGATGCCAACCCTACACAGTTACAGGATGAACACACACTAAGTTACTCACCTGGGAAACAATAACTTGGTCCCTACCTTGACTCGGTGTGGTTCTATAGCATTATCCTCATTAAGATGCCTTAAACTATGCCTAGGAATGCCTAGGATGGAATGAGAATGCAAAGATGCACTTTAAAACACTTTTCAGAATTTTTAGAAAATAGGGGTCTCACTCGAGCGTGGCTTTCTACGCTCGAGCGGATATGCAGACAAAAGAGCTCCGCTCGAGCGTGACTTTCCTCGCTTGAGCGGACTGCAAAAATACTGGATGCATGAAATTCACGCTCGACGGGCGCTCGACCCCCGCTAGAGCGTGAGACACAAGCCCTCGCTCGAGCGTGCATTCCCTCGCTCGAGCGGACTGTAAACACATGCAAAGTACTGGATACACGTATTTCACGTTCGAGCGGACTGCATGAACTCAGAGTGTACACTCAAGCGTGAAGTTCCTCGCTCGAGTGTGGATCCAAAATCTGGAATTTCCAGATTGGTCTCCAAGCATGAAACTTAACATTTAAAGCATCAAATTCGATCCTTTTGGGCTAATTTTTTGGAAAACACTTTAAAACTCATAATATGACATGTTTCAAAGATCAATTTGCAAAATCAAAGCCCAAAGGTAGTTCAATTGAACCCATTTCCAAACAAAACTTCAACAACATGATGTACATGCAACATGCATGAATTTAATCAACTTCAAAGCTTCTAATACAAGAACAAATGAGCCAATCCTTCCAAGAACATGCTGAATTCATGGACCAAAGCTAGAATATGGACATGCATGTGAGGATTCTATGAAAACAACCTCAAAACTCAACAATGTATACATGCATGCATGATTTAAGCTTCAATTCAACATGTTAGAACCTATTCTAGACTTAGATCACTAAAGACTCATTAACCATGCAAGGTACAACTAGAATTCATAATCAAGAAGATGAATATCCTACCTTATGTCCTCAATTTCAAGTCTAGAAGCTCAATTATGCAATCTCCCTTCAAAATCTTCAAGTCTCCAAGCTAAATTGATGAACTCAAGTTTTTCCCTCTCTCCCTCTCTCTAGTCGGTTATGGCCTCTCAAAGATGAGCAAAATGATGCAACACATAAGCTCTAACAAGACTAAACAGTTGGTCTAGCAAAGTCCACTTAATGGCATTTTGGTAAATAAGCTAACTAATGTAATTTAACATTATTTAATCCAATTTAATCATACCAAATCAAATTTCAATTAAACATACCATAAAATCACATAAATTCTAATTAACATGAAACACTAATCAATTTCAGATTCGGCCGCCGATAAGGCCTTCAATTTGCAGTTTAAAACATAAAACATGAACATATCATTTAGCAGTCAAACAGATAGATTTGCATTTAAACTAATACACTCAATCAATCAGTTCAGAATTTCAGTCAATCAGTCACTTAACATGCTTAATCATAGATTAGCACTAATCAGTGGTGAGGGTTGTCACATGTATAATCCTAACAGTGTAATGCAAGTAGTGGTGGACAGGTCCAATGAAGACATGCTTAGGCCCAACTTAGAATTGCCCCCAGTTTTCTAGAGATTATATGTTGGTTTTGCAACCCTTAGAACAGGATTTGTTAAAGGAAACAAGCTTATTATAGGATTGAATGGATGTCATTTGAAAGGAATCTGTGGTGGACAATTATTATGTGCACTTGGAAGGGATGGGAACAATAACTACTTTCCAATTTCATGGGCAGTTGTTAAGGCAGAAAGTAAAGATTCTTGGGTGTGGTTCTTAAGGCAACTCATGGATGATATTGGTAATGCTGATGACATGGGATGGGTCCTCATTTCTGACAAACAGAAGGGGTTGGTACTTGCATTTGAGGAGATAATGCCAAATGTGGAACATAGGTTCTGTATGAGACATATTTACTTAAATTTCATAGTAAAGTTCAAAGGGATTGAATTAAGGGACCTATTGTGGAAGGCAGCTGCAGCTAGTACTATGAGAGAATTTGAATTTCACATGAACAAATTAAAGGAAATGGATTCGGAAGAGAAAGCATACAAGTGGCTAAGGAAGATGGATCCTGCTTTATGGACTAGGTCCCATTTCAGCTCAAGAAGTAGGTGTGATACATTGGTCAACAACATGTGTGAGTCATTCAATAACAACATCTTGAAAGCTAGGGACAAACCCATAATCAACATGCTTGAATGGATTAGAAGGAAGGTAATGCACAGGATCCAAATCAAAAAGAAAGGGATGGAAAAATACACTTGTGAAATTTGTCCCAACGTTGTCAAAGATTTGGAAGTACTGAAGGTGCAAGCTAGGAATTGTTTTGCAACCTATTGTGGTGATAGAAAATTTGAAGTAAATTGTGGTGATACCATACATATTGTAGATTTGGAGGAAAGGAAATGCAGTTGTAGGATGTGGGATTTGACTGGAATGCCTTGCAAACATGCAATAAGTTCCACATATATTCAAAGAGAGAAGCCAGAGGACTATGTGCACCCTTATTACAGTAAGCACCATTATCTTGTAGCCTATAACTCAATGATTCACCCTGTTCCATGCCAACATGATTGGATTAAAACAGGACTGCCAGTAGCGGCTTCTCCATTGTACAGAAAGCAGCCTGGACGACCACCAAAAATGAGAAAGAATGATATAGATGAGCCAAAAAACCCTGTCAGAGTTTTAAGGCAGAATAGGTTCATTGTTTGTGCTAGATGCCTTTAGAAAGGTCACAACCAGAGGTCTTGTAAAGGTCTTGTCCATCCCAAGTCTAAGCTTTTTAAGTAAAAAAAAAGTAAACAGCAGCAACCACTTTCAGCAGCAATAGCAACAGCAACTGCAATAGTAGCAGCAACAATAGCAACAGCAACAACAGCAGCATCTCAATTAAGTTGAACCTCCAATTTCATTTCTTTTTGTAATACATTCTACAACAATGACATAATATAGATATAATTCATTACAGCCCAGAAGGAAGCTCCCTAGTAGGAAGGCCAACACATCCTTATCTCAAGTAAGATCTATCCACTTTGTAATTTCATTTGCATAGTTGTTACATCATTGTAGCCCACACATATTGTTGACTTGCATACTTGTTACATCATTGCAGCCCACTAGAGTTGGCCACACATTTGAAGAATTTCCAAGTATGAGAGGCAACACATCAGCATCTCATGTAAGCTCTCTCTCCTATGGGTGTCATTTGGTTTTTGACATAGTTGACAATATATAATTGCTTACTTGGACCATTATCATTGCAGCCCACTAGAGTTCAATACAGTTCTCCAAAATTTGATAACTCATCATCTCAGGTATACTCAAAGTTCATTTGCAAGTTCATTTGTTTTTTACATAACTCATAACATTTGATTGCATACTTGTTAAATCATTACAGCCCAGGATTACTGAAGTTGGCCAAAATTCTCCACATTTACCAACTTGGTTGGGCAACACATCTTTATCTCAGGTAAACTCTATCTCTCTCTTGTGTTAAACTAATGTGAGTTGAATTATACAATTGTGAGTTGGTATTTACACACTATTTGTGTTGTTTGTCCACAGGTTTACTTGTTCAAATAGTATTGTGTACCTTATTGTTTGTTGTTTGTTTTGTGTACCTTTATTAATCCACAAGTTTACTTGCTAAAATTGTTTTGTATAAAAATAGGGGAACAATAGGAACCAATATGTTTCTATTCTTTAATGTTCTTGGAAGATGTAATTAACAATTTTATTGCATTTTTTTGGTTCATCAGATGCTTACATTTCATGACCCAAAACATTCTTTCATTACAATTGCTTCACAAGCCATTGTACACCTTCATTGGTCAATACAACAAGAAGGAACACTTTCTTCATTCTTCATTTTCTACCTTCACTATATTTTTCATCTCTCAAACTCTATGGCCCAATAATAACCCGTTTTCCTTCCCTCTAGATAGCTTCACCCATAACATTGTTATGATAAAGAAAAAAAATCCATGTCCCAAATAGAGTTTTGCAAAACATGTTCTCCCTTCTACGACTTCTTGCTAGTTCCTTCTCTAACCGGTTTATCTTTGCAATCATCTTTGGCAACACATCCCTTCCACGTTGGCACATGGGTGGATCAACCTATTCTTGCATCAACTAACAACAAAAAAATATGAATCCACAAATTTCTTTTCAAACAAAATTCAATCTTTTTTTTCAAAAAAATAAAATAAAATTAAAGTTTAGCTTACCCCATATCTTGTACAACCATAAACCCTTATACCCATATTTTCATATGTCGTTAAAGTCTTCACAGGGGATCTCTCTTCACAATAACATAGTCTTTGAGCATTTGCGCTTAAGTGCCTACTTTCAGAAGAAAATGAAGAAGCCGTCCAACAAAAATCTTCAAAATCTTCAACTTTGGGAAAATTTGGACAATCTGGGCAACTTTCGAAAAATCTAGACAAATTTGAGTTTAGGGTTCTATGTTGTTTGGGTCTTGATTTGTGTATATAATCACAATAAGCGTGTTTTGGTTATTTGACATATGTTTTTGGGTGGGAAAAACTGCTCCACTCACTATTTATGATTGTACAACACACGCTTTGTTTAAACAAACAGTTCCGTCGAAAATTGCACTCTGGTATGAAGTATAAGGGGTTTAAGTGTTACAAATGAAACTATAGAGGGGCTCTATATTTTTGAGGTAAACCACAGGGGGTTTAACTACAATGATGTAGATTACTTTATAGTAGAGAATCTCAAATTTTGCATCAAATTTCTTTTCTTTTGTTATCTAATTTGATTACTAATTTGAATAAAAAATTTAATTTGATATGAACTACTTTAAACTTTTCATTAATTTTTTTTTTTTAATATGGCACTTATATCAAATTTCTCTTTTCATCAAATTTTAGAAAAAAAAAAGAAGCTAAATTACACACACTTCTCCTAACGTTTGAAATATAATTAATTTTACATTTTTGACATAATTACATTAACAATTCTTAATATTTTAATTTATATAACACTTAAATTAACTTTTAATCAATAATTTATTAATCGTACAAATGAAAAAAATAATATTTGTTTTTTCTTTTATTTATTTCAATATCTACTTACTATTGACATTAATTTCAATCTCTTTAATCATATTAAAAGAGGAGTTAATGTAATTATTTAAAAAAACGTGGGAGTAGATGTATTTTTTCTCAAAACGTCAGGTCAGTGTAATTTTTATATATATATATATATAAAAAACACCATTCGAAACTTCAGTGCTGAATAAACACAAATATTTCAGAAATCTAATTGGATGAAAAATTAGTTTCACTTTAATTTGACAAATAGATTGAAAAAGAGTTTTAAACCACTTTATTTATTTATATATTATAAATAAATAATATATATGTCTATATATAATATAATTAGACATAAGAAATGAATACTTAAAGTCTGTGATTCTATTTAAATATAAAGACGAATTATACTAACAGTCCCTATATTTGGAACTCGTATCACTTTGGTCTATAATTTTTCAATTGTGACATATTTGACATTGAATTTAAAATCTTGTTCCAAATAAGGACAATTGAAGATACTATTGCTCAATTTCGAAGGCAAAGTCATCAATGTGATAAAACATAATCTAATTTGACAAAAATAAATGTCAGAAAAATATTTTTGAATTTTTAAAAATTATTTTTACCCACCAAAGATAAAATTATATAAAATTGATAAATCTTTTACGCATTTATTTATCTATCTATTTTACCAAATTAATTTTTATTATGTGTTTAGATGATAATCATATAATGTGTGGTGGTGCTGCATGCACCAATTAATGTACACACTAATGTACCAACTAGTATTATGTCATTATTACTGACCACACCTATTATACAAATTACAAATATCCAAAACCTCTAATTTATGCAACATCATCTATTAGTATACTAGTTAATATATTAATTGGTACATATAGCATTATTCTATAACTTGTGGTTGTTAGACTTTTAATGTGTAATCAATATATTTAATATATTAAATGTTTTTAGTTTCGGATTTTTTAATTTAATGGATTGATTTAATAATGATATCAAAATTGTCGTCATATTTGAGTTTTGGAAAAATATAAACTAATTTAATGAAAATAGAAAAAACCATCCATTACATGATCATTATCCAAACACATAATAAAAATTAATTTGGTAAAAAAAATAAATGTGTAAAAGATTTATCAATTTTACATAATTTTATTTTTGGTGAGTAGAAATAATTTTTAAAAATTTAAAAATATTTTTTTAAATTAGTTTATATTTTATCAAATTGGTGACTTTGTCCTTAAAATTGATTAATGGTATTTTTAATTGTCTTTATTTGGAACATGATTCAAAATTTAAGGTCGAATGTATCACAATTGAAAAGTTAGGAATCAAAGTGATACAAAGTCTAGACTGTAGGAACTGCTAGTGTAATTTGCCCTAAATATAAATAAATATTAATTCTAAAAGTCTCACTATTTATATATATATATATATGAAAACAAGAAAAATTATTTAGTGTGTTAAGAATTTAAATAATTCTCAATTATTATTATTATTATTATTATTTTATTTTTTTTGACTATTTGAAATGTGATAAGGTATTCGCGGGTAGGGGTGTGCGCAGTGCGGGTCAGTGCGGTTTGAGAGAAAAATAGAAACCGTATGGCGGGTGGCGGATTGATAAAAGTGTTACTAGAATTTGCCATTTTCCGGTTCGGTTGGCAAATAATGGTGGATTTGCCTTGGCGGTTCGGGCGGATTGGCGGTTTATAAAAAATATAATTCAAATTACAAAACTTAAATCAAATAGTAAAAAAAAACGAGAGATACCGTGATGTTAAGCATCTTGCGAAGCTTTCTTCTGATGCAGCAAGTGTAGTAACAACATGATAATATCAACGACTATGCCATTTAAGCATCTTGCGAAGCTTTCTTCTGATGCATCAAGTGTAGCAACAACATAATAATATCAACGACTATGCCATCAGTTCATTACAAGCATTTGTGTAAGCTACAATGATCAAATACAATACATAAAATTAATATCATTCAGGGTTTACAATATATTGAAAATGTTTACTGTTAAAAAGTATTTAAATTGAAAAGTGAGCTGATGCTAAGGTATAGAACAACAAGCAAACTTAAGTAAAAAAGAATTTTTAGAATATTATAAAACATGATTTAATAGCGGTGCGGGTCGGTGCGGTTTGGAAGAAAAATAGAAACCGGCGGATTGATAAAAGTGTCACTAGAATTTGCCATTTTTCTTACCAAAAACCGGCGGTTCGATTAGCATAATAACGAATTTGCCTTGACGGTGCAGTTCAGTGCGGTTTTGGCGGTTTCGGCGGTATTATGCACACCCCTATTTGCGGGTATGGGGGCGGGAATGGAATTGAAAATTTCTATTCGTAGCAGGGTTGAGGCGGGGGGCGGGGTGGAGGCGGAGATGACAAATCCGCCCTATGGCCATCCCTAATAAAAGTGGGCAAAATGTAATTTAGCTAATAGTAAAAAAATAATCACCCAAATCAAATGGTCAAATCGCCATTGAGTCTTTACAATGCAAACCCTTCAATTATTCCGAGTATTTCTACACAAAACTGTCCAATAATTAGAAGAGAGACCTCGAATCAACATGGTTAAGGTCGGTTTATTCATACTCTGTAGTTCTAAATGGTTTGCAATTAAATTCACTCGAGTATGGATTGTGGTCAATCAAATGTACCAGTACATAGCCTGATCATGGGTATATATGCATATGTATATGTTTATGCACTAGCTTTATTTTTGAGTTTGTAGTGGATCTGTAACAAGTTTATAGCATAGTTTGTTTTGATAGTTTTCTTGGCAATTAGTTCATGTACTCGGATGGCTGCTAGTGTGTGGAGTTCTATTTGCCGATCGGATTCATCAAGATAGGTGAAAAAGGTTATTTTTTTTAAATAGAGTTTAAAGTGAGATAAAACGATGTTTTTTTGTAACATGTAGCAATTATACAAAATTATATACATATAATGGTAGTTTTACTACAAATATATAAGATGTGTCTAACTTATGTATCGGACATAAATCCCATACCTTTTCCAAGTGTCGATAGGTCATTCCATAGTTTCTATTTTTGCTTTTTACCTACTTCATTCAATACATTTTTGGAGCGCTCATAATTTTGTTGCTTGTTTTCCATATCTGATCAGAATAACACTCAGTTGCCACTATTATGCCTGCCAATATGTTGAGTTGCTTAGATAGTGTTCAGTTCATTGAAATAAAAGTTCATTCCATCAAAATATTCATTCCCATATTTAGTTAGACTAAAAAAATAATGACAAATGCATTATTAATGAATCATCTTTCACCATTTTAAAGGAATGATCATTCCAAAGGAAAGCCTAAGGAATCGCCATTCCATTAATTCTCATTCCACTGAACCAAATAGAGCATTAGTGTAATTGATATAATTGGTTTGTATCTTTTGTTTTCGTTTGTTTGGTTGCTGAGAAAACAGAGGAACATAATACAAATGAAACCTGGATTTGGTTGCTTTTGCCTGCCTCA